TGATTTAAAATAAAACAAATGCATTATATCTCAAAATTAGCTTAGACATTCAGTTGGGATTAAGTTTATTTTTAATTTTAGGACTTTTATATTTAATGAATTATGATACAAGAACTTTTTTTTTAAGAACTTTTTAAACTCCCAAAAATTAGAAACAAAGCTCAGTTCAGAAGTTTTGATACATCATACATAATCATGCAAGTCAAAAAGAGAAATTCAAAATTGGAAATAATATTATTACTTACATTTGGCGAAGTAAAAAATGTGTATATAAATCTTAATCTAAAGAAGATTTTTTAAACCATTATTTATAATTACTTAGACTATAAACTCTCAACATACTGCAGTACTGGCAATAGCGCTATCTGCCGAGGAATAAAAAAGTATTTTTACAATTAGCGGAAATTTTATGGGCAAAATTTTTTTTAAAATTTTTTTTCCACAAATACAGAGAAATTTGAAAATATACAGGTAAATAGGAGCTAGTCGCAAAATACAGGAGTCTTCATTAAAAAACAAGAGACTTATCAGGTATGTAGTGGGGTTAGATTACACTAACTAATTAATTTTTCAGATGATCAATAAAAACTTACATTTAGATAAGAAGCATTTATGTAACCAGTTTTGTTTTCTGAAGTGGACGTGACGCGAACTCTTCGTACGGGATGACATCTTGTGGGGCTTCTTTTTTGGAATTCTTTCAAACTCAAGAAACACTTGACCTTCTGATAGCCTGCTCTCCAGAGCCTGGATCTAAACACATATCACAACTACAGTTAAAATGGTTCTAGAACTAGTTCTTTATATTGAAATAAATTAAGCAATAACTATTTAAACAAAATCACCCAAAATGACTTTTGTTCAATTGAACTGAATTCATCCGGACAACTTGGTAAGTATAAGTATTACAAGTCTATTGACAGAAAAAAAAGATTGACAGAAAAAAACTTACTTAATTTCTTCCAAATAATTTAAAAATAGACGTTACTTTTACTAAACGTTAATAGACGTTACTTTGATGTTAATAGACGTTACTTTGATGTTAATAGACGTTACTTTTTGTTATTGAATGTGAAGAAAGTGCTTCGCGTGCAGGTCGTCGGGCTACTGAAGCGGGGGTGCCATCCCCTCCTCAGAGGATCAAAATTGTGATGGCATGTCTTCTGATCATTCTCCGGGATGTTTCCGAGGCCGTCGCCAATAGCCCATTGTGCAGCTCTAGTGCGACGTAAATTAACAATAAGAAAATGTGCATTTATTATAGCCAGTCACAAAGAGTGTGGCAATGTGAGTACAATGGGGTAGGATAGTCTTCTTGTCTCCCTTTATCCCCCTGGAGTGTCGAATAACTTTCCATATGGACACAAACAAAAGACTTGTATAGTTTGTCTAAAGTAAGAACTCCCCTAGCCATTCGTCTGGACCCGTGGCGGTGACTATGGTAGCAAGGTATAACTATTTCAAGTAGGGGTGAGAGGTTATTGTTTAGGACAGATTTTGGCTCGGGTCGGTGAAGAAAATGGAATCTTCAGTCTATTTTGATAGCCCTAGGGTGAAGAGAAGCTACCCTCCCTGAAATGCACTATTCTTGTTTCCATAGTAGTAGACAGCTTCAGACTTTGTGGCAGGGGGAGTTCTTACTGCAGGCAAACTTTGAAAAATTCAGTTAAGAATAATAGAAACTGCTTAGTACAAGAGTTGCACCCTAGAAATTTATATTTTAATCATACCTGCCAACATTGGAGGAATAAAATAACGGAGATTTTACTAGCAACAATTTTAGGCTGCGAGTTAAGTTTTGATACGTCAAGCATAATCATGTAAGTCAAAAAGAGAAATTAAAAATTGGAAATAATATAAGCCCTTACATATAGCGTGAAGTAAAAAATATGTATATTAATCTCTTAATATAAAGAAGATTTTTTAAAACCATTATTTATTATTACTCAAACTATAAACACTCATCATGCTGCAGTACCAGCAATAGCACCATTTGTTGAGGAATAAGAGATGTATTTTTGCCATCAGCAGATATTTTATTGTTAAAATTTCTTCAACAAATAAGAAGAAATTTGAGAATATAGGGGTCTTCGTTAAAAAAAAAAAAACATAAGACTTGGCAAGTATGCTTAATCATGAAGAAAATACATACCCTAGTATCATTTGGAATCCTGAGTGTACTCAAAGTGGCGGTCAAAAAATTTGGCTCCATTCATAGCTGCAACAAGCATACCTCCTCTTCCATCTTGAGAGGTCGATTGCTGTCCCTCCTGATTGCGAGTCTGGTCAGCTTCCAAGCTCTCGCAGTTCTCGTAGGAGTGAGCAGGAAGATTGTCTACCAACTTAGTGGAGTCTGCTGCTGAATCGGATTGGAATTGACTCCAACGAAACAATCTTGTAAGGAAGGTTTGTTCAGAACTGCCGACGGATTAGCTGGAACAACCTGCAAAGAGGAGATACTATCAGTCGGAGGTAAGGTTTCAACCGCTTCCCTTAACAATTTTTTTTGAAGAAAAACTCAACATATTTTTTATTTCATTAATAAATACAAGGAGCTAAAAACAAAACATAATATACAAGTTCTAAGTTGATTTTATTATTTTTTTTTACGTGTAAAAAAATATTTAATTCACTATCAGTTTACTGTAACAAATGATCTCGGGCAAATGAAAAAAAGTTAGATATTAGTCTTCGTATGTGTTCACAGCTTCAAAATCTGAAAAATCATCTGCATTACTTTCCCTCACAAACAACATTTTTTTACTCTTTTTTTTTTCTATGTAAATTCCTGAACCATCGGATATAAAATTATATAAAATACGTCCGCAGTCCCACAAATAGCAAAACTCCTAAACAAATATTGACAAGTTTCCAATCACAGCAGATTATTTTTTTTTTGCTTCCTGCCGAATGAAAACGTGATAAAACAAAACATATTGACGAATTCTGCCATGCAGAACGGCCGTCTACCACTCCCTCTTCGTGCCCCACATTCCCCCAGGAAATTCGAAACTTCCGATGCATGCGTGCAAGCTTTTTTCTGCTCTTTTTGAGCAACGCACCCCATATTTCATAAGCTGCTTCCGGTGAATCTCTTCGCGCAACATTAAAGTGGTTTAAAACTATGTTGCCGGCAAAACGAGTGCCAAGAGGATAAAGGTTATCAAGTGCGATAGAACTAGTTGCGCATGTTTTAATGGATTTCATTGTTCTAGAAGCGCATATTCTAGTTCACATTCTAAAAATTTCAGCATTTTAATACAAATTTAAGAAATATGTCAGTAAACGGGAATCGGTAAAATCCGGTCACCATGACATCTGAAGAATCTTTTTTGTTCCTTTAAACCAGAGGTCGCCAAAGTGATCTATATAGACCCCCANCTTGTCAGGCTCGGCCGGATAACGATTGATCTCGTGCAGTAATCTAGAAAAGTTCGTGTGGGAAGGCCACTTAGATTATTGCAGACCACACACCCCCGCTCCCCGAGGTTAGAAACGTTTAAAAAACACTTTTAGATATTAAAGTAAAAACTGACTGAATATAAGATGAAAGAAAAAAGGTCATACTACTTTTCCTTGAATGCTGTGCTGTAACTAAAAAAATTGGGCCCGGGTACCAGATTGTTTTCTGACTTTTATGACAAATGATTTAATAAATGACAGATGATTTCATAAATGACAAATACACAAAATAACAAATGATTTAATAAATGACAGACAAATGATTTAATAATTTATGACGTACAAATTTTATTCTAAGTTACGTAGTTTGAAAGCAAAAATGTAAGTTCTCCTTTCATGCTAGACGCTTCTAAGTAATGATAGAGTTACGAATCTCTTAAAATAATTCAGCGATACGAAAACAAATTTTTAAGAATGTGCTACAAATTTAAACAAAATCAGTACGGTTATATATCCCAGAATATCGTATAATCATAAAGGGACAGGCAAAACAACTCGTAATTAAAGTGTTCCCTTTTGATCTTTATGTTCCAAACTTAATGTATATATTTTGATTGAACAGTTTATGAAAAGGTCCATTTTATCAATTTATGTTGAGCTAATATTTTTGGGATTAAGAATACATTTTGCTTACTTCTCTTCCTGACCAAACGTTAACTTTTACTGTTACAAACGGGTACAAGGGACGTTTAAAAATTTTTTTTTCAATTTTTGAGCTACAATTTTAAAATTTACAGCATTTAGTTATTGCATCTTAAACAGACTAAGNAGGTTACAATACTTCGTTGTCGAATTAAGTTTAGAACCATTAAATATGAAGTAATTATATTACACAATAATATTCTGACAAGTTTGAGTACCTTTTGCTACATTCTTTTAATTTACATTAATAACATGCTGGCCAGTTCTAAATTGACACTTATATTTTTGAAGAAAGCCAAGTCTTTGAAAATACTTTTAAACAAAAATCTGAACATATCCTTTTTATGATTGCTTCTGACTGAAAGGATGGCGACGTCATTATGGTCATCTTGAGTGGACTAGATTGATATTGACGGATTCACTAGGACAATGTTGACACTTTTTAATACCTGAAATAAAAAAAGGACTTTAGAAACAAATAGAAAACTAAAATCTATTGTATTTAGCAATGTAAGTAGAGTTAGAACATCCCTACCTTTCAGGAACATCCTCTTTATGTTTAGCACTTTGCGATCATTTTATGACCAGCAGTTTTATTCGGAGCAGTGTATCTCAAATTTTTGGTGTGGGGACTCCATTACGAGAATTTAGATCCTCGTATAAGCAGTGTGCGCAAATCACGTAAGAGAGAAACTGTTTCACTTATATTGCACTTTTAGGACACTGATTTTTAGTTTTAAGCCAGGAATCAATGTGAAATTTTAAAAATAAATAACAAACTTAAAAACATAATGTAATACAAATAAGTTGTTGAATTCAAATACATTTTGCAAAAATATTTGATAAAGTTGTGTTCAACATCAAAATTTCTAGAATTTTGACACCCTCAATCTATTTTGAGCTGATGGTACTTTAAATTATAAAATTTGATACAAACGAACCTTCGATGAACTCAGAATTGAAAACCCAAAATATGGAAAAGCTACTGAAATCTAACAAATATCGCCCCATGAGATCAAAAGTTTAAATCCCTTAGTATCAAAAAGTCTCGTTTCAAATTCTTAAAAATTTGCACATCTTTTAA